TTTTGTGATTCGTGACCCAAATGACCCATCTGAAATTCATTTACAAGGTTTTTACATTAATAGAACAGTGGTGTGCTACACATACCGGACTCAGATGAAGTCTAAAATACACTGGACTCCAGAGAATGGATTACGAACCAACAATTAGGATTCAAGTGTTTTGGGGAAAAACACTTACATAAGAGACTATGTCGGCCTCAACGCTAAAATAAAAAGCAAACATGCAACTTTCAAAACTTGATAAAATAACTTTTTTTTCCCTTCAAATTTGTGCTCATAGTTAATATTCAGTCCCCCCACCCATACTCCCCACACCAAGATCCCAAAGTTTGGGAAATGTAGCAATTCAGTTTTGGGGAAAAAAAAAAAAAAAAACATTCTCCTAACTCCTGTTTTCGTAAATACTGCATAGTGGCATCAATGTTAAACAGCAAAAGAATTTTATTAAGAAAAAATCTGTCATTTAGGGTTTATCTATTTTTATATGACAGTGATTGGGGTCTAAATATTCTTGTAGCTCAGAGAACTATCATTTAAACAAGTGATTTTAATACCAGCATAAAAAAAAATCAACACAGCTATTTCTCAGACATTTCTTTTTCTAAACAATTAAGTAAGGTTTTAGGTTCCAAGTTTATACTGAGAGAATTATGTTACCTGGGATAGAATGTAAAATTGTTTTAATTCTCAAACAAAACCACTAATATCTATGAAAACATTTATTCTTTATATGCAGATACTAGTGACTTCTATTTCAGTGTGGATCAACAACTGCAAAAATATACAGCCTCCTATTTATTTACAATATATTTATATACAAATGAAGCATTCCTACAATAAGCCTCAGCTGCATAGATTCTTCCTTAAAAACACAAATTTCAGCCTGTATACAAATAGGCCCAGTTTCAGGGCCTTCCTCAGAGAAAACCCCAAAGGAGGATGTCTGCATCCTTGCAAATCTTACATTGTTTTCCAAGAACTCTCTTTTGATTCTGATATTTTTCAGTTGTTAGCCACCCCACCCCCAATTTGTACCTGAAAGCCTTATATCATTATAAAAAGTTCACTCTATTTTAGAGGAAGTATGTTCTGTTGCTAACAAAGTTTGAGATCTGCCATCCTTAAGGAAAACCATTTGAGTACTGCTAAATGATGTCATCTGGATTGTTGTTTTGAAAGTTGCTGGACATTTGCTTGAGGGAGGGAATTAGTCTTAAAGTCTATGCCCTTTCTAAGCCCCAAGTCATTTAAACTGAAAAATGGAGGGAAGGTTTTTCTCCAAGGCACAAAATCAAATATCCAGTATTATCACCACCTTCTACCCACCCCAATTACTAGTGCCCTCCACTGCTGGGCTACACTGCAATGGAGCCAAATTGCTACTTTTCAGAGCAGTTTGTAGTTCCTTTAGCAGTGTAGACCTATCAGGAAAGAATTCACTTTATTTATTTTTGCCACATTGTGGATAGAACCCAGGGCCTTGTGCATGCTAGGCAAGTGCTCTACCACTGACTGCGAATTCACTTTAAAAGGAGGACAGGATTGATGGCCCCACGAAACACTCTGTGGCAAACTGACTTCTGACACAAATTCAGTATTTCCTCCAAGGTTACATTTACAAAAGGGATTTTCTTTTAATTTCCCTTAAAAAAAGAAAAAAGAAAAGAAAAAAAAAGGGAAAAAAGCGCCTTACTTTGATTTCTTCACAGCTATAAAAATGTCATCCTCACTGCGCCTTACCTGAAATAACCCTAAGTGTAGTTTTGGAGTGTGCACCTGCACTGGTAATTCTGGAGGGAGGGGGCACAGCGGGTGGCAGCAAGAGATTCCTTTGCTTTTCCTGCCATTGCAGAGTCACTGAGGTGCTTTCCTCCCCTCCCTGTCTGGGCTCCCATTTTTTTTTTGCCTGGAAACTATCTTCTGAAGCAGGACTCATGGAGAGAACTAATTAGTCCAGAGCGGTTCTTAAACTTGATGTGCGCATTAGCATCACCTGGAGGCCTTGTTCAGATTGCTGCCCCTTTCTGAGAGTGGCCAATTTCACTGTCTGAAGCCGAGCCTGGGAATGTACATTCTAACAGGTTCATGCATGATGCTGATGCTGCTGGTCTGGGGGATGCACTTTGAGAACCACTAGCTTGGAGGCTTGAGTCCAGCTCCAGGAAGAAGTCTCTCTTGGCAGTTACAGAGGTGTCCTTTAAGATGCTGAGGAATTTTACCAAGCCCTTTACCTACCTCCACCCCCTAACTGATGTGTACCTTTCTTTTTTTTTTCAACAGGGTGTATGTGAAAAGGAAAGTGGAGACTTTTTACCCTTCCTGTGGTTACTGGGCAATTAAACTGCAATCAAGAGTACTAAGGCTATTCCAAGTGTCATGTGCTGGCCTCCACCACACCCTGGCACATAGGAAAAGCTATGCAGCGATGTCCTTTTCTGCAGTGGGCTGGAAAGGAGGTGAATTCCCATGAGCAAAAGAAGTCCAGCCTGAGACCCCGGATGAAAGAAAAGGCACCAGCTGAGGAACACTTACAACCACCACCCCCCAGGCCCCTCATCCTGCTTCCCCTCCTCCTACCCCCAGGCTTTCTGGACTTTTTCTCCCTCATCTTTGCTGGAAACCATTATTCTGTCCAGCAGGTGATATGTGGCTGAGATGAACAGTCTAGATTCCACTAGCAACAGGCAGAGATGTTCTTGACAGCTCTGAACAAACACCCCCAGGAACCAATCATATTTGGTGGCTTGGTTCCTTTTGCAGTCATATTAAATTATTCAATTTCAGCTAAACTATGGGTCTGATAATCATTTCTAGCTGGTCTGGGGGCCTAACCTGATTTCTAAAGGAAAATACATTCCAGGTTGCAAACAACCCACAAAGTTTCACAGTATGAATTCCTTATAACTGGTGGCTACCTATGCCTAAAAAGAGTAGATTTTCTTCCTGTGCATGTTTTGCTACCCCCACTTCCAATAAGTGACATGAAGTAAATTAGGGATTTATAGTATTCTGTGTTACCATAACCAGAGAACAGTTCTAAATCCACAGTATGAAACTGACACTGTTCACTAGTATAGAGATCCTATCTACCAAAGGAAAACGTGCTGCTTCCTCTGGCTAAGATACAGTATCTTTAGTCTACTAATTTAGCAGAAAAACATCTATAGCACTTGACTTGTGCTGCTTAAGTTCTACCTAACATCTGCAATACATGTTATTTTTTGGATACCAGTGCACTATTTTGAATAAGAATAGCAGTACAATTCATAGTGAATTCCATACAAGTCATATAATCAGTTAATATTTGACAAATTACAGTAGGGTCTATTATAGTCAGTTAACAACCAACTAAACTTACAAAGAAAGGTTGAAAAATGTGAATAACAGACATCAACAATAATGTGCTTCCTCTAAATAAATATATCTTAAATAACAAATTTCTTATACTGACACACAAAATCCAGAGATCCAAAGAATATCACTACACATCCCAGAATTAATAATTTTCTGAATTCACTTTGTGAATATAAAATGAACTGAGTAATGAAGAAAATAGAAAGATGCATAGTAGTATAGCTTGCAAACTAAATTATGCATTATTTTTTTTTTAATGTAGGGTCATCCCATTCTCTGACTATTTCATTACTTGGTGTCCAGACAACTTCCAAAAGCCAACTAAATCTTGCTTTGCTCAGTTTCTAGCATTGCTCATGTTAACATGGAAACCACTTCTGAAAAGGACAAGATGGCTGTGGACTTACTAGGTTAAGGTACTGGGATCTGGGTCAGGCGATCAAATTCAGTTGCCTGAACTCTGACTCCATACGAATGTCATTCTGTAGTATTACATTAAAAGCTATGATGGTGTAAAGCAGGAAATAACCTTTTATTCTCCTCCAAGAGGATTGTGACATGTGCTTTGATGCCTGTCTTATCTACAGACATTAGTTTGTAAAAAAAAAAAAAAAAGGGGGGGGGGACAGTTCCCTGTGACTGACTCTCAGTGACAGCAAAGCCCTTTGGGGAGTCAGGGTGGAAGGAACAGAAGCCAGAGCTAAGTGCCTGGAAACTCTGCCAACCATCTGTGGTTAGATTCTACTTATCTCCAGATAAGAAATCTGTGCTCGGTGAACTTACATGTTTAGAAAATGCAACCAGAATACATATAGATAAGGCATAAGCCCTGTTTCAAGAGACCAGCTCAGAGAGCATGCACATTTCTTACCATTCATAAGACAGGGACATGCCAATCACAAGTGATGGGATGGCCCAGCTTTGGGGGTTGCTATCTGGGTGTCCTTTGTGTCCCCCATTCCTGTTCCAGCTACCTTGTCACAAGCTCTCTCATTTCATCTCTTCATAGTTTCTTTTCACTCCCTTTAGGAGAGGGACTGAGTAAGAGTTTGGGGCAACTCTATGCTGCACAAACCACGCTGAGATGAACAGTAATGAGAAGAGAGACAGCGTGGGCACTGAGGCCCTCGTCTTCCCTGTGGGGAAAAGGAAGGTACACAGTGATTTCACCAAAGGTTCTTCACAAAGACTCTCTGAAAGCTTATTTTCAAGACTGGATGGAAAGTTAATGGAGAAGAAAGAGAAATGAGGCTTATTTGAGGTACAAAAATCTTGTATTTGTAATAACCTAGATTTATTATATAAAACAAGTCTATTAAAGACTCTCCTAAAGTACCCAATATAAAATAGGAATTACCCTAGATCGTCCTTAGTTAGGGACACATTATTCTTTATGACAAAAAGCTGGTGGACATGACTAAATAAATGCTGCTGGGCTTATAAATTCAATAAAACATTTCCCTCACTTCAATGATACAGGTGTAGAGTTAAAGGCTATCTACATCAGAGGAGTATTTTCTTAGGCATCTTGAACAATCTTTTTATGGCAGGTACCAGGGGTCTCCCCCAGTAGAAGCTCACTTAGCCTAGAGGAACTCTGACCTAAGATTCTAAAAGAAAAAAAACAAAAAATTTCATTTGCAAGATTAGATAAATGTGTAGTTTAATATATTGATGAAGGTATTATTCCAACCCCTTCCTATCTGAGGACACTCACAAGGGAATATCTTTCATGGGAGCAGTATGTTGTACCTGCTAGGCAGCTGGACGGCCCTGATCTGAGCTGCCTCAAACAATGGGCGTGCTCAGATTAGGCAATGGCACGTGCCCTGTGACTCCCATATGATTAACTTGGTGTGCTATGTCAACCAAAATAGGCAAATTATTTACGAAAAACTGGTTTTTTCCTATAAAGCAAAATAAATATATACAATTCAAGATTCTTTTCTAAAAAGATCCAGATAGTGTGAGCTGAACATCAGTAGGAAAATTATCTCAGAACCTGGATATGTAATAAGTCAACACGATTGATGATCATGTTTTCAAAGTTCTAAGAGACTACAAAGCCACAAAAACAGAGTTAGGAGAATGGAAAATAACTGACTTGAAAAGTACTTTATAATATAAGTGCATGAAATTTGGGGGATGGGGGGAAGGTCCACCATTCCTAAAGAGATCCCAAATGTTGGAGGGGCACGAACTGTTACAGAAACAGGTCTCCAATTTGCAACCAAAGTGCTGTTCCATTTTAAGTATCTTGTACTTTTCTGTTGTTTCTGTGAACTTGCAAAAGAAGTGATGAGGAATTGCTGATGTGTGGAGACTTGATGAGCAGCAGACCGGAATGCTTTCTTTTCCGGCTGGTCTCAGTGGCCTTCGTCACTACCGGATGAGCAGGCCCAGTCATAGATGACCAAGGGGATGCTGACCAAGGAGAACAGTACCCCCAGGCCCAAAAAGAGGGCCGCCTGGAGCAATAAAAAAGACATGGATTATTTTCAATGCCATTGACCTTTTCCATATGCACCTGGGAAAAAAATAGAAATTTTTTTCCCCCTCTCCCTTTGTGTCCCCTTTTAGTTGGAGTTTGTTACAACCATTGCTGAATGGTGAGACTCTACAATTGTGTGAATCTGATTCTGCAAGAATGGGAAAATAAGAAAAATAAGCTAAGCACAGCCGTCCTCTACATTCTGTTCTTTAACTTCATGGTCACCTCAAATGTATCCAGTCTACAAATGACTGGGTATCCTTAGAGCTTTTTTCTCAAAGTAAGATTATAATTTAAAAAGAAAAAAAAAATCCAGGTCATTGTGGTACTTGTTGCCTACCAACCTAAATTATCACTGGCAGGCAGACCCTTTCTGTTTGAAAAAATGGAACAAATATAAGCAAAAGCAAAGTAGATTTGATCAAGTGAGATCAGAAACAAGTGTCAAAAACTAAATTACTTGGAGGGTTGATGAAGGCCACAGGTGGACAGGTTACTAAGTTCATCATCTGGAGAACTGGTGATTATAAGTTGTTTGGCCTTGAGAAAAGTAAGTGAGTTTTGCAGGGGAAGATGAAGCCATATGAGAGCCAAGGGCTAGCCTGGGAACTTGGAGGTAGAAGAGGTAAGGGAAGGAGATGAGGCAAATGGTGGAGCTGATCTGTCTAACTCCCAGTAGTCCCTACACGGAGCCCTTGCCTAATGCTATTTGGTAGATGCAGTTTTATCATGGGAGTGTGAATGGAGAGGCCCAGAGAATTTACAGACAACAGGCCTTCATCATTTGCACCAGTTCCATCTTAGGATATTTCATGATGGTGCCACAGTGAATTCTCCTTCCTTTCTGTCCTTGGGAAGATCCTATAGGTAAAGGCCTAAAAGGATTTGGAGTTTATGGCTTCAGGGATAAACTAGATGCTCTACCAACATCAATGATGTTTCTAAATGCATAGGGATGGTCCCTCCTGCCTCTGGGTCTGTTGACTCAGGTAACATGTGCAATTACAGTGCTTACACTATCTGGGAGGGCAGCTGAGAAGCCTTCTTCGAGGCCAAGCAAAATGGTGCTCCAGAAGGGACTCATGTAGCAGCCACTTCACCCCTGCTTCCCTCACTGTCTCCAAGTGCACCACCTTCAAGATGCCCTTGAACTTCACCAGACCTGGAAACAAGAATCCCAATATAGAAAGGTAGTTTTTGAATCCAGGTCTGCTTGCTCCAAAGCATTTCTGTCAAGTCATAAAAAGGCTCTTTAAACTAATTCAGACATTTCATTTAAGGCACTGCCTATGCCCTGGGTTGTAGGAAGGAGTTAGTTATGTGACTAGAAATCATGCAGAAACAGAAGACTGCATCCAATCTTTGAGTCTCTCCACTTCATATCTCGCTAAAGAGAGGCATCACACCCTATGGAGTCACAGGAGTAGAAACACCCATCTCCTGGCTAGCTGGATCAGAGTAAAAGCTAATGCACAATAAGAGTAAAAAATGGAAAAGATATTTTGAGGGAATGGAGAAGATATGATTTGAAATTTTGCATATCCCCAAGGGGAAAACTATAGGGCTAATGCCTCCCTTCAAGGCTACTAAAAGTAGTTTAAGATGGTAGAGAGATGAACTATTTATTTGCAAATTCAAATGGAAAGCTAATCAGAAAATTAGAGTGGTTGGCAAGAGACATACCCAGATTCTTTGAGTGCCTTTATCTCCATCCTGGTTTGTGATTTTTAAATAAAGAGATGAAGGAAGAATGAAAATAAGCATATTAGCAGATGTAACTCCTGCAAAGAAAAAAAAAAAAAGAAGGCAGGTTAGGATTGTTCTTATGCAATTTTAACTTTAAACAGCTGCAGTATGTTGTGGAATGATAGGTGGAAAGTCATAAAGCCATACCTACGACTCCAAAAATATCCTTCATGGAGGGTATGAAGATCACCAGCAAGTTGATGATAACCAAGAGTATGAAGGTAACCAAGACATGACGACATAAATTAAACTTTGTTTTCTTAGCCAGTTCAAATAAAGATGAACGAACCTGTAGGAAAAGAAAGCAAGGATTCTGTAAGGGCCTAAGCAGAACACTAAACTTCACATTTCTCAGTAGAATAACTGATTTATTGCTGCACAGGAATCTGTGGAATGTTTCATAATGCCTTGTGAATTTTGAGATAGCTTAACAGTTTTGGACGTATGGGGCTTGACTTCAACTGCCAAGTATTTGCAAATATGAACAGTAAGAGTTTTCCTTTGGGGTGGGTAATTTATTTGCTTTAACTAAGATTTGAGTGTTCTCTTCTGGTCTTTCTACATCCTCTCATCATGTATGCCTGACATTCAACCATTCCACCTACAGAGGGCTGGGGTTGTAGCTCAGTGGTAGAGCGCTTGCCTAGCATGTGTGAGGCACTGGGTTCGATCCTCAGCACCACATAAATCTAAATAATAAATAAAATGAAGATATTGTGTCTATCTACAACTAAAAAAAAAAAAAAAAAGATTCCATCTACAGAGGGTACACTAGCTCACAGATCCCACTTACTGTCCCAAGAGCACGGAGCCTCTCAGGCTCTTTCGATGACTAGGGAAGTCACCTAGGCAGGCTTTTTCTGGAACAGGGTTCTGAAGGCAAAAAAGAAAGGCAAGACCCCAGCTTTTTTCAGATGACACTGAGGCCTTTTACTTACTGTGAAAAATAACACCGGCACGGTGAGGATGACAGCAACAATGACAGCTAGCCGCACTGTCAGGATGAGAATGTCATCTTTGCTCTGGTACTTGTGAAGGAGGTCTGAATGCACATTGTCTACAGGGAGGGAAAAGCAAGAGGGTTTTAGAAGGAGACAAAGGGTTGTGCTGAATGAGTTCTTGGGAACTACCAAGAATTTGTAAACCAAAGGGTAAAGAAATATCTGTTAAAACCATTTATAAAGTTGAAAAAAAAAAAACACCCCTATGTGAGAGAGACATGCTCCAGCGTTCATGTGTACCTTTAGCTGAAAAGAATGCAAAGCAATCACTAGAAGAAGGTGCATGGAGCAGGGCTGCTTCACTGAAACTAATTAACCTGCATGGCTGAGGCACAAGCCCCTCCAAATCTACAGACTCCCCCGACTGAGAGCTACTCTCCAAGCTACAACGACTAGCTGCAGTCTTCCTAGGGGCCTGCAGACCACAAGAGCTTTTTCCCTTCACACTCCACTCTTGCAACTCAACCTCCAGTGGCCAAGGAGCAGAGATACCAACCTAACCTCACCACCCTCACGACCACTGAGAAAGAATGCTTCTCCTCCACGAATGTTTTTTTTTTTTGTTAAGAGGAGGAAAAAAAAAAAAAAGCATACAGTTGACGTACTACTTTGAATTTCTCTCAGCTCCAAATTCCAGAAAGTGTTATTTTAAAGACTACCAATGCTGGGAAAGCAGTCAAAGAACAGCATGGAAATGCTCATTCTTTTGATAAGAAATCATTTCCCCTCATGTCTCCTTTCAAAAGCTTCTCATTGAACCAATCTCAAGGTTCTCGGCCTGAAGTTCAAATTCTAACCTGTACCATAGAGCTTGTCTCAGTTTCTGGAAAAGGACCAAAGGTTATTTAAAAAAAAAAAAAACTCATTAGTTTTCATTTTCTTGATTCAGAATTCATAATCACTTAAAAATAGCTCATCTTTTTTCTTTCTTTTAAGAGTATAAAAGGGTTCAATATTCTATTATATGTTTAAAAAATGGATTTACAAAGAAAAATCATAGCTTGAAGAAGGTTACAGTGAAACCGTTCAATTAACATTACTTCTCCCTCTCTCCCTCCCTCCACCCACCCTAGTCCTATGACTCTGTGGGAACTGCAGAAACACCATTTTTATGCAAAATTAAATGTGCTAGTTATGGAGTTGTAGATAATGCTATTCTCTATTGCTTGTGAAATGGGAATAATACAACTGTATAATCAGAGTAGCCTTTCTCTCCAAGCTAAATTAATCTTTAAATGTGTTTAAATTTTGAGGCGATTTTTTATGGAAAAAAATTCCCTAAAGAAATATCACTTAATAGAGATAATTGTGAAAATATGCCACTGAAACATGATAAACAAAGATGCAGGATAATTTGAGTAGGAGAGATTAAGTAGCAAAAGCAGGTAAACTGTTTAAAAGGATCAATACAAGTTACAAATAAAACCTTGCTTTCTTTTTCAGATTTCATTTCATTTAACTTTCTATGTCATTCCTTCTGGTCTTTGCAAGGCCCCAACTTCCGGTAAACACTTAGTGTTTTATTTTTAATTAATGTAGAGTGTCATGAGTGTGGCACTCTCCTTTTCCTCACTTCCAGCATCTGTCTCTGTCTTTTCTATTAATGGAGTCTGACCCAATTTTCAGTGTCAATTAGGAAAGTCTTCTGTGATGTAGTTTCAAACTTTCCTAAGACAGCATGCTTCTAAAATGCAATTTCTTATACTCTGGTTTCTCTTCAGATCGTATAAATCTTTCGCCTTTTACTAAAATGCAATTTCTTTTAAGGACACTATGAGAAGAAAACAACTACAGAATATTGTTTTAGTGATGATCCTATTTTGCAATCTACATAAACATGTAAAAGAAACCATCACCATTTTATGTGAAAACAGTAAAACCAATGAAAAGCTAACTTGGTTGCCCTGTTTGGTCTCCATGTCATTTTGTTATTGATTTTAACTAATTTATTTGTACATACCTGTAAGTATGCATCGACAGAGATTACTTACCATAGAATGTCAAGTAGCCAAAAATGGCAGTCAAGAAGTACATAACAAACATGGCGAAAAAGGAGATATTTGAAACCATCTGCATTTTTTTCTGTGATCGACTAAAAACAAAGATAAATGAATTTGAAAAATTAAAAAAAAATGTATTACTGAACTGAAGTGCGGGGGCTAACACTGAGGAACATACTAATTTAACTTTCCTTCCATCAAGTTGGGGCAGATCTGGTCAGCTAGAAACCCCCAGCAATTATGCCAGTTTAAAATAACTTCCTTTAATACCAAATGGATGTTGTGAGGGAGTGATCCATGAACTACACTCCCTTGAGTGTTCTTCCCCATGCTTTTAAAAGAATATCAAGTTCTCATCTGAAGGCAGACAGTACTTTTTAATATTTGTGTTTATTATCTCCACACTGACTGGGCAAAGGAAAAAAAAAAAAGGCAGAAAAAATTCAAGTGCTCTTTCTCCCAGCTGCAGAGATCAGTGGCAGAGCTAGAACTTGACCTCAGGAGTTGTATCTTGAAGGCTGCTGTGTGGGCTCTGGTTGGCCCATCAAATACCCCAAGAGATGCACCTGGAAGTCTGTGTATCTCCAGAGCAGGAGGTACTCAAGAGATTGCACTGGCGATGAGGGTGGGCTCTCTCTCAGGTCCAGTCTACTCTGGGGTTGGAATGACCCTTTTAAGTTTTTTAAACTGCTCAAATAATTAATCTACAAGACTGTATTCCATAACAGACCACAGATAGTCATAACATTTAGTTGTGTCCTAATACAGAATCTGGGATGTCATGAGAGCGTGGAAAATGAGGAAAACGAGCAGTACATACTTGAGAAAATGATAAACTAAAAGCAGACCATTAAATTGAAAAGATGATAAAGACATATTTAAATTCTCTAAATGTAGGATCACAAATTTATATGCAGATTTTAAATAAAAGGAAACATTTCAAAATTTGGCCATTTATCAATTAAATATGAAAGGAGAAGAATTGAGAGAGAAGTCAATGCTAAATGACATCAATATTTTTGTCTAAAAATGGAGATGAATAACTATATTGTATATCTTTTCTGAACCTAAGACTATTCCTTGATGACTATTTTTATATAGAATAATCTGATAACAGGAGGCTAAAAAGAAAACACCAGAGGAGATTTATAAGCTGGTCTTTACTCTTCTCTAAAAGGACAATCAAAAATAAATCCATAGAATCATCTTAATAATTTCAAACAACAATATTATTCTTCTGGGCTGGGGCTGTAGATCAGTGGTAGAAGGCTTGCCTAACGTGTCAGGCACTGGATTTGATCCTCAGCACCACATAAAAATAAATAAGTAAATAAAGATATTGTGTCCATAAAAATAATATATTATTCTTTCTAGTTTGTGGCCTTAATATTAATTTCCTATTGTCTGATTTACCAGCCTTTTCTACCCCAACCATCAGGGGAATCAAAGACAGTGCATTTAGCAGTTTCCAGATCAGTCTGAAGATTATCATTACTTGAAAACTAAGCACAAGGGACAAAAAGCAACACAAGTACTTGAACTCTCCTAAGTTAATACAATATTTGAAAACACAAATTAACTAAAAATCCCACAGGATTGGCCACTTTCTATATTTATGGCCAAAGAATACTGCAGATTTCTGGATTTTTAAATACAGTACTTAAGAATGGCAAATGTTAGTCAATGTTGAAACTGGATGATGAATCTGTGGTGGTTCATTATATAAGATTCTATTTATTTATTTATTTTTTTAGTTATTGATAGACCTTTATTTTATTTATTTATATGTGGTGCTGAGAATCGAACCCCACTGAGCCCCAGCCCATAAGATTTTATTTTAATACAGAACTTGTCCACTAATGAGGGGGCATAAAATGATTAAGATATAAAAATCAAATCTCTTACTCTTTAAGCTCACTGTAGATTGGCAGGACTGATGGGTGGCAGACAAATGCAAATGCAATGGTTGGTAAAGCATACACGGTCTATTTGAAAGAAAAAGAAATAAACATTAAGAAAAAGACATCTTTACCATAAAAATTATACAGCTCACTCCAGTGTTTCCAGAGCTGTTTTTTATCTGACAGCTCTTCAGAATCTCTGGATTATTTGATAATTAGGAAAGTTTTGATCTCTAAAACAGGAGCAGCTTTTCTCAGAGGGCTTATCTAGCTCTAGCCATTAGGCATTTGTCACATAACGGCTTTAGATCTGGCCCGCCTACAGGGTGTTTATGCACTGCAAGCGCAGTAAACCCATGTTTACGTGGCATTAGTCAGTTACATGGCAATTTTCCTACATCACACTCTCACTGGATCCCCACACCAGCCCTGAACAGCAGAGAGGCCGTTGCTGTTCTTGGAATCCCTCGGACAGGTTAGGTGATGTGTTTAGGACTTCCACCTCTGTTTGACCGCTCTTTGGCTAGGTCAGGTGCATCAAAGAGTACTTAAAAGATAGCATCTAAAAAGAAAGCTAGTTCCATAGTTCACTACTTTGTATCCTTAAAGTGTGTGAGATAGAGACCTATTTATTCTCTTAGATTTTTTTAAACTCTCAAATTCAATATAATTTGTTATAGAAAAGGAAATTGATAGAGAAGGGAAGAAAACTTAGCATATCTCCTGTTCTTACTTTGTTGAAGTTCTATAGGAGACCTGGTCCCACAAAACCCTGGGAGATACAGAAAAGGATCTCATTTTGACACAAGGGACATGACTTGCCTAAGGACTGAAATCCAAGCCTGACAGACCACATAGTCCATGGTTCCCCATAATATCAACCCTATTTTACACTATAAACATTTTTTACATGCCAATATGTGGTGGTAGGTCTATATTTCAACTGTGCAAACTGAACAGATTTGAGGTATTCCTTCTGTCACCATCATATAAACGCAGTGGGCTAAGGATATCATACTTTGCTTTTAAAGCATCGCCCTGTACTCTACCTAAGAGAAAAGCTGAGATAATTACACAGAAAGAAATTTTCATAGTGAACGCTCATGGCTTGTCTTAAGCAGATAAGAAGTAAGGGGAAATATATTTCCATACATCTCAAAGGTCTCTGAATGGACTGTGGAATACCAAAGCAATGACCCCATGTGTTCTTACAAGAACTAATATACTCAAAACAGTGTAATTTTACAAGTATGAGAAATATATTGGCCTTAATCAAGATGTTCTTGTTTATCTTTAAAGGATAAGGAAACTTACCTTGGAATTGAAAGTAACATATTTTGGCGTACACATGTCAGCATTTGTTGAATTAGCATTTGCTGTTGAATTTAGCTCTCGAATACCACAGGGAATTTGAAATTTCTTGTAGATAACCTGGTATTAAAAAAACACCAGAGAAACTATATAGATTTTACTAAAGCCAAACAATGAATAATTGTTACATGGCATTGTACTATGTCAAAACCAAACCATTTCAATCAGCACTTACCACTATTAGGAAAAAGACCATACAGCTCAAGGAAAATCCACTAGTATACCCAAGATATCCTTTAAAAAGTAAAAAAAAAAAAAAAAAATTGCTATTATTATTTCATCAATCATTTCATTTCTTTCAATTCATTATTTGAAGCCTAGCTTGGAACTCCAATAATATGCACACATGCCCATGTGAATACAAGATTTATTATTTGACAGTGCTACTTCATTTGGCAAAAAAAAAAAAATTAGGGCTTTGAATAAAAGCATTATATTAGGTGTTTTGATTTCAGTGCTCCCTGGCACACTAGAAAACACAGATTCCCAGAATTCAGGGAAAAGGAGTCTCCCAATTTTGGCCCTAGGCCTGTGTGCTGATGTTCTCTAAGGCAGTCCTACAGGCAAATCCATTTACTCCTCAATCCTCTGTAGCTCTTCATCGTGCATTTACTGTGTGCACACTGAGTGTCAATTATAACAATTCTTCCCCCAGATGACAGGCACAAGATGTGAATTTCTAGGGATAAATGGCATATCTGAGGAGCTTTACTTGTTCCCCTTAGAATCCAACTGGGATTCTAAGAACTCCATCTGCCTCTCTGCACAGCCTCTAGGAAGGTGAAGTAAGTGGGCTCCTGGGAACTGCATTCTTCTCATCCCTGAGAAAGGGCCCTTCTCTGGCATCATAGAAAAGCCTATACCAACCCAGAAGGTAGAAAATTAAGTACTTAGAAGAAAACAAGTCTACTTAATAAACTTCATAGAAGCTATAGAAGTGTGACTTTTCTTTTTTTTAACAGGAGGAAAAAAACTGGTTCATAATTATTTTTGGAAGAACATTAATCCAAAATTTTGCCTTGAATTAGCCTGGATTTTAAGGAAATGCCTCTTAGAGGTTTTTGACTACACAGCAACCTGGCCTCATTACTCAATGTATGAAATCCCCTTAACAGCAGGCATACTTGTCTCCAACTCACAAGCATAGAAACAAATGTCAAAACCAAATGGATGTGACTTGGAGATCATCTGTCATTTTTGACTTTAAACTTTTTCACTCTCCTTTCAGCAAGGGAAATCACTGATATTGGCTAGACTCGAAATTTAAGAGTGATTCATAACACTTTGGGGTATAAACACAAGCAACTTTCTGTCTTGATATTAAATATGAAAATCTGTCTAAATAATCAGAGTATTTATGACCTCATAGGAAGAGAATTCCATTTTCAGGACTTTTCTTAGGGCAGCCTGTATATTGTATTATCATCCCCCAAACCTTTCCTTTGCCCACCCAGCTTAGTAGAGGGACTGCTAAGTCACATACTGATGTGTTTTCCTCACACATTAACACTGGGCCTGATTAATACTTGCAATTTATGATTCACTTAATTGTGACCCTGCAAGTGGAAGTACAAGACAATGTTGTTCATTTTTATGAGGCTTCTAAATCGTGTGGGCACTGTAGAGATTATGGGCAAGATAAAGGCAAGATAAAGATAAAGGCAAGATCTTTCCTTACCTAAATTCTTCAAGAGACACAGAGGGAGAATTATGCCAAAGGTAACCATCACCACCAGAACTCGGCCGTCCACATACCAGGCTCTGAAAGGCAGATAAGCAGCTAGGTTCTATGTTTTGTTTAGAAAGTGACACCCCTGCCCCAGGTAAAATTTCATGATATATTGTAATTCATGTTTATTAGTAATTTTACCATTGATATTTTTAATCATTATTCAGGTTTTATCCAAACACTTTAACCCAACCATTACTCCTTTACTACTGCTTCACTCCCAGGTAATGAAAGAAGGGGAATGAGCTTTGTCTCTCATTGGCTAAATGTGGCATTCCTCTGAATTATTTATGTAGTTTCAAAGCTGAATGCATACATTGCATTCTGTCAGATTACAACTTGTTCTATCAATTATTTAAAGAGAAAGTTCCTTTTTGTTTTGCTTGGCTGGTATCAGTGAGAATCGAGTCACCACAGGTAGGCAGTTCTCTCTCGCTGATCCCTTGGATTTGACCTTGAATCCTGAGGATAGAACACTAGGAACTCTGGCTCCTACAATTCTCCAAAGGAAAACAGAAACTAAGACCAATAAGAACTATTAAACAAGAAAGAGTCAAAACATAATTCCTATGCCAAAAGTGGCTGGCAACATTTTCCAGGGTTAACAACATCTTTAATGAGGTTTGTTCATATAAATTTTGCTCCCCAAATGCTATAAGCCTTTAAGTAAGAGGCTAGGGTCTTATTTTTTGTATTTTTTCATGTTCTACTTCTGTGTAAAAATATTCTATATCTGTTCTATTTCAAAGAAACTTGATATAGATTTCAGGCTCTTGGGAAAATGCAGTATCAATTGTTTGCAGCATAACAGATGATTCTACCTTTAAACGTTCATATTCAAATGGCTCTCTCTGCTTCCTTCACGTATATATCCCCAAAGAAATTTATTGTTGAACAAAGGTAAAAAAAAACAGCCTAGGAAAAACTCTGTTTCTGCAATTTTCATAAAACAAAAGCTTTGGTTAGCCTGCATTTAAATTAAAAACATTTTAGTTTTATTAACACACACACACACACACGGTCTATAACTTACGAAAATGCCTCTTCCTTTCCCATTAGAAATTTTATGGCAGAGGGTAGTTCATTTTTTACTATGAAGAGGTAGCTCAGCATTGCTGGAGGAAAATGAGAACATTTTTAGAAAAATAATACCAAGGATCATATTGCAAGCTATCTAGAAGAATACCAGCCTGTTCTTAGACTAACCTTCAATAAGACACAAAGGTAGCTTTAGCAGCCCTAGTGGGATATTTGTCTTTAAGTAAGAACGGCTATCTCTGCCTTACATTCCATGTATGATAACTGCTTGAATTGTGTGGACACCCCACTACCAGAATTAGAAAAGGCAATAAGTCACATACTTTATGTATGGAAAGTATGTTCTTTTTACCTCCAGTGTTCTGTAGAGAGGTGGCTCCAAAGATGACCAGCTTCCCTGTGGTGCCAAAGACTTGTTCTCCCAGCTTTTCATAAACCATGCAGCCTATTTAAGAGTCAAAATTAAGGACACAATCTTGTTGACCATTCCTCAAATTATTTTGTGTCTTTCTCAAACTCAGACAAATAGCAGCCAACTTGGCTATGCAAGGGTTAATGCATTACATTGATAAAATAACATCTTGACATTTTTAAAGGTCAGACATGATCACCATTTCTCCTTTTTCAAGCTGGCTACAGTAGCATTATAATTAAACTCTAGATCATATGGCTTATTTTAAAATATCTCTACCTTACTGGAGGGAAATTCCCACTTTCATCTTTTTCTCAGGTTTGGTATGTACTACTGAAGAATTGATTAAAAAAAGATCCTGGTGTTTGAGACAAAAAGATTCCTTTATGATTAACTACCTGAACAGATCAGGCTAACAAAGAATTATCTTCATAACATTCCATCAATCCCTCTTGTCCTAAATATAATGATAGGCTTCTAGTAGTAATCACATAAGAATTCTGATCATTCATAAAATTTAGTTCAAAGAAAGCCGCAGACAAATCTGAGCCAAGACTAATCTGGCTATAGCAAAATTCTAAAGTGATCAAAAAGCTCATATCAGTAGATACTAAAATTGTTATCCATTCATTAAAAACAACAACAAGAAAAACTGCCTGAGTAGGGTGGCACACACATGTAATCTCAGAGACTCAGAAAGCTGAGGCAACATCAAAGGCAGCCTGGGCAATTTACAAGACCCTGTCTCAAAACAAAAAAATAAGAGCTGTGTGTATGGCTCAGTTAGTAGAGTATTTGCCTAGCATGTGGGTGGTTCTGGGTTCAATCCCCAGTACCCCCAAAAGAAAAAAAGACAGAACAACAACAAAAAACAAAACACAACGACCTGTTACATTTCTTTATGACAGTTCCAAAAAGCAATATGGATCAGGCTATAATTAAACCTTTATTTAATCTCTCATAAGACTGGTGTTTAAACTAGACAATGGGTAGATCCTAAATTTATTACAAAATGTTCCAGTCATCTGTATACAATAATAGCTGGCCAATGTGGTTTTAGCTAATGTAAAAGTCAAAGTATTACAAACATAATCCAGTGTCCCAGGAATAGAAAATAAACACTTCAGGTATTACACTGCCCAGAGAACTTGAAGTCCTTGGTAGCTGGCTCCCTCCCACACTGCCTCAGGAGTAACATTTTCTCCTTGGAATATGCACCAAAGAGGATAAAAGGTCTATTTACTTTTTAAAACCTTGGAGGTTATGATATAAAACATGCAATCTTTGTTCAGGATTTATGAAGGCCTAAGGGAAAACAGAAGCCTTGAAAATGAAGTCATCTTAAAGTAGAAAAACAGATGCAACTAAGGGTTCACTTTAAATGACAATGCTATTTGCTCATTGCTCATGACAATTTAAACTTGAGTGCCTGTTTCTCTAGGCAAATAACACAATAAGTCTTCCAGTTACTGTAGGTCAAAGTAGTCTTTCTTTTTAATAATCAAATTGCTGAACAAAGAGAGCATCATTTGTTCACAATTCACCATGAACATTATTCACCCCAGCCTTAACAAAATTAGGCTTTTTCTCAGCTTACCTGTTTCCTTGGAACAGATCAATAGAAGGTTTATTGAATAGATGGACAGCAATGTTACTGAAGTCAAAAGTATCCTGAGGCAAAGAAAATAAATTCTGTTGTAATAACTAGAAAACAGCATATTCTGATCTTGCATTCTAGAAGGGCAAAGATTTATTTATATGGTTAACACTATTTGTTAATAGTATCCAAAATGTGGAAACTGTTAGTCACCCTGCTTTAGAAACCTCAATAAAAATGTCCTACCAAATAAAGAAGTGCTCATTAGAATCTGAGTAAGTCTACCAGTTCAAGTTCTTTATGTAATTCAAAGCCTAAACAGCTCTCTGGGAACATTTCAGTTGAGATGACTGTAACACCACATTGTGAAACAACACATTTTTAGTCTAGGGTATGGATAGTCTCTCTTTACATCTGGGTGAGAAACTGGTTTGGGGGTGGGGAGTGAAAGAAAAAGCTTGCAGGGAGTGACCTTCCAAGAGAGACCACGTGACTCTGGGCAACTTGCTTCGCTGCTTCCATCTGTGGATTGAAGACACAAGCCAAATGATGTGACCTTTCCCCCATGGCTATTTTCAAATCTATACATTGTACCACTTATCTAATTCCCTTGTTTTTTGCACGAGGTTCCTCTGAGATGCATACCCACCTCTTCCAGTGGGGAGATTCTGACAATCAAGCATAATGAAAAGGCTTTTTTCAATGATGAACTCATGTTTTTGTTTTAGTACATCTGGCTCATTATGAAACCCTTCTCAAGAAAATTTACAGTTAAAATGATGTGGGAGATTACATAGATTATTTCTGAATCCTTTGGTTAAAACTGACATGATACTAAAAATAAAGCCCATTTATTAAAAAGAGGGGGAAAAAAATTCCATTCCCCTAGTGAAACCACTCACTCTCTGATATAGGGAAATATAGACCTAGAACAATAAATTACTGCAATTGATTCCATGTTTGAGTAAATAAAGGCAATTATTTTCCTAGCAAGTGCTGTTGAGAGGCACTTGGCACAACATGCTGTTCTTGGCGGGGCTCCTACTCCTGATCCTCCCCCACTGCACACCTGTTGAACTCCAGGGGCTCTTGGCCCAGCTCAGAGGCCATCTCATAGGGCCATTCCTTTGCTCTGGGTGGAATGACTGTTCCTTAGTCTCTGGTCCTATAGCATTTTGCTTCTCCTGCGTGCAAAATGCTGTGAAGGAAAACACGAAGTACAGAATGGTCACCAGCTAAACAGATGGACTGACAGAAATTGGTCAGAAAACAAGAGAGTCAGAGCACTTGGGAGGAAAAATAGAAAACCCAACACTTTGTGTATAGGCCAAACTGTCCTGCCAATAAAGGGGAATTTAGATTAATTATGCTGATTGAGGAGATACCTTCAGATGCATATTTATTTAGCTTAAGATGGTAAGTGATTAAGGGGGGTGACTAAGATGGTAAGGTAAGTTCCTTACAATCTTTGCTGGTTAAAGGACATATAAAACATTGAGAGCAAGTGTTTATTAATCAACCCAGTAGCTTTGACATATGTAATGAAACATAATTTGATATGCTCTGTGAGAGAAAAAGATACAGGATCAAATTGTAGCTTGATTTTTTTTCCCCTATAAGATAAATAATATTTATGTTAAAAAAGTAAACTTTGAGTTTTATTCAGAGTTTTCTCAAGTTCAGGGATCCTGAACACTAAGTGGCGACTTCTACATCTGCATATGACAGACCCTGGAGGCACAGAACAGGACAGTATGGGCTTCCCAGTGAGGACAGGATGGGTGCCATCTTAGGATTTTGTCATGTGCTATTCTGGGGTGATCATGTGCCCTAATCGGACTCTGCTGGGGCCTGATAAGAACAGTACAGGAGGTATTACTACAGACCAAAGGCTTTGGTATGACCTTGCAGAAAGATGTGCCTAGCAGGAAGTATTAATTACTTAGCATCTATATAATGATTTATCAAAAGCTCTAAACTTGGAAGAAACTAAATACTTAATAGCAAAAGAAATATTCTATGAAAACATTTGCAGTGTTCCCTTCACTAATAGCCCCTGGAACCACATGGTTGTCTCTTCACGCATTCAATAGTTGAATCTCTTAGTGGATGATGCTCATCAGTGGGCCTCTGGCCCTTGTCAAAGAATTGAAGAATTTCTTCATAAAATCCTGTTACACCTTTTCCTTTATCAGATGGGATAAGTGCTGATCAGAGAAGATTGGAGTGGGATGATTCCCGATTTTGTTCCCCACTTTAAAACACAGCAGGATGAAGTGCTCCCACAGCGACGGAAACAGTTCTGCTCCCATGTTTAAAGGACAGAACACTGCACCCCACAGGAAAGGACACACAGCGAGTGTCCCAGAGCCTCTGCATTTAACCATTCAATCTGTGAAGACTCTCTTTCATCCCTCAAAGAATATGAATCTTTCCTTTCATGACTGAAAACTAACATAAAACAAAACCTTTTTTTCCCCTTGTCTGGCCACTAAAAAGCAAACTGTGTATGTAAAATTCTAATAATTCTTCTAGGATACCAGAAACTAGCATTAGCAAGATTAAAATTTAGAAAAGGACACCTCTTTATTTAGATTCTTAGAAATAAGCAGTATGTTGTCTAATTGACTCTAACAGATCCCACAATGGTTTAAGAAAACCAAGTCGGAGATGCTGTGAAACACAGAAACCATGACATTTAAAGGAAAACACTGAGAGGAACAATGGGAGAGACCGTGAGGGCTTATTTATTTTTTTTTTTTTTTTTTTTTTTTTTTTTTTTTTAATTTTTTATTGTTGGCTGTTCAAAACATTACATAGTTCTTGATATATCATATTTCACAATTTGATTCAAGTGGGTTATGAGCTCCCATTTTTACCCCATATACAGATTGCAGAATCACATCAGTTACACATCCATTGATTTACATATTGCCATACTAGTGTCTGTTGTGTTCTGCTGCCTTTCCTATCCTCTACTATCCCCCCTCCCCTCCCCTCCCCTCCCCTCTTCTCTCTCTGCCCCCTCTACTGACATTCGTTTGTCCCGTGAGGGCTTATTTAAACACTGGTGTTGAGTAGCACGATGCCCCTATTTGTCTAAATAGGTATTTGAACACATAATTATGGCTTCCTGGAAGAGAAACACTAGCTGGCATTCTTGAGTTAACAAAGGGTAACACGAGTAATTCCTTTTTTCATTTTATCTGGATTATCATTTAAGCCTCCACACTGTTAACCATTGGCCGAAAGTTTTAATACGGCTGGCACAAACACTGGTGGCTGGAAAAGGCATTTTTACATGGTACTTGGGGTTTTGAGATGTTGATATTTCATACGTGTGTCTGGCCTTGACTAGAGGGGATCTAGGGCATGTAACTACATGGCCCGTGGGGAAGGGGCGGTGGGAAGGTCAGAACTGTGAAGAATGTGATCAGGAAATTTTGTCTCCTGAGAGGATTGCTAGGGAACTCTAGAGGATTTTTAGACTTGAATCAGGGACAGACCTTCGCAGACTACCTCGGTCTAGATCTACACCCAGTACAAGAAACCGCCACACTCCACGCAAACATACAGGTACCAGATTTGCAAAATATCTTCTGAGAGGGGACCCAGTAGGCAACTTGTTCTGTTTCTGGATAGTTCTGTGCTTTGGAACTGAGGCTGAGCTGAAATCACTGCTGCTATTCTACCCTTGGTCCTCACTTCACCCTCAAGATCTGTTTGAATCTACCTGAAATCTAACCCCTCTTCTACCTAACAATCCCTCCGAAGGAGATTGGACACTTTGACTTAAACACCTCCAGACTTTTCAACAGTTCATCTTGTGAGAAAGGGTTCAGATGATTTCCTCTTCCAAGGTCTGTGTGCTGAGACAAGTACAACACTACAACTTCAGTTTCTGTCCAGATAGTGCAAAGCATGACGTGATTTTCGGTTCTCTTGAGTTGGACGTCATATTTCTTTTAAGGCAAACTATTTTGGGATTCATTTTTATGGCAGTCATGTCACACTTCTCATTCTTTTTGAGCTCTGGTATAAAATGCTCCTAGGCCAAGTCTGCCTGATTCTAGCCTATCCTGTCTACTTTTTTTAAGTGTGAAATTCTACATTTATTTTTATTACATTTTATCTCTCAAGTCTTGTGCTATCTTTTAAAATTCTTTTTTTTTTTTTTTTTTGGTTCTACCCATCTCAGCAGCTTCGTATCTTCAGTGTACCTTCATGAAGCCTCTGATCCTGACTGAATAGAACAAGACAATCTGCAAATGACTCACTGTCTAGCTGACTGCTCAAGCCAGAAGCCTGGAAGTCATTGTTGATTTCTTACCTATTCTCTCATTCCTCATACTCAATTCACAAGCAAAGCTCTTATCATTTCTACCTCCAGAATATATCCCAAATACATAAGCTGCTTTCCCTATCTCCACTGACACCAGTCCAAGGAGCTATCATCTTTAACTTCTGATAACTTTTACCCATCTCCCTTTTTGTACCTCCTTAGATCTATCCTTCACCCAGTAGCCAGAATCATTTTTTATTTTATTGCTTTTTTGTGTCTCCATCACCAGATTACAGGACAGGCCATGGTGACTGAATTCACCTACTTACCTGTTTACATTCAACACCAAACACACAAACAATAGACTCTTAGCTAAGAATCAGTGAACTTACAAATATTAGGATCTCGTTTGCAAGTTAGGTGAGTCTATATCAATACCTTGGTAAAATCAAGACTTATTTAGGATAGTCCCTGTGACCTACTAGTTTATCCAGATGTTGAAAGATGATGTTAGGCTGAGTTAGAAGGTGCACATCTGTAATCCCATCTAATTGGGGGAGTAGGGAACTGAGACAGGAGGGTCACAAGTTCAAGTCCAGTTTTGACAACTTAGTGAGACACTGTTTCAAAATTTAAAAAAATAAATAAATAAAGGGCTAGAGATATAGCTCAGGGGTAGAGCATCCCTGGGTTCAATCCTCAGTATCAAAAAAGAAAAAGTTAATTTAATGCCATTTAGGGAAGTTTTAAGTCTCTTTGGAGCAATATTTTCTGTGTTAACTGCACATAAAC